ACTGCAAGCAACTCTTATAAATCCTCTTGTAATATAGGTAGGTAGGTATAGATAAATAGATAGATAGATAGATAGATAGATAGATAGATAGAGATAGATATGTTGGGTATGATATATAATTATATCTTTTATTAATGATTATATGTTTTACACAATATATTAATATATATGCATATATATTTTCCTCTGGAAAACCCGAATACAGCTACAGAAAAAAAATGAAAAAAAAATACAGGAAACAGGAATTCTAAACTTAACAAAAATATCTTTCAAAAAAAGTAAGACAGGTAAGCAAATACTGAAAATGTCACCATAAGATTTGTACTGAAAGAAAACTATTCCAGGAAATTCTCAATATGCTACCACACTGCACTAAGAGAAGGTCTAAAGTTAATCCCAGCAGGAGGAGAAAGAGATGCAAGACACAAGCTGGAAATATAAAAACAATAACTTTTAAAGCTGATATAAAGCAAGAAAAAGTAACATGGCTAACCCTAAATGAAGCCTGACTATAAGCATGCATGATAATACTTGTGTTTGCAAATATAGAGACCTGTACCCATAAAAAAAAAAACAGACGCAAGCAGGGGTGGAGTGAAGGGCAGTGTTGGCTCAGTTTGCCCAGCGAATAGTGTGAATGCTCACATGGCAGACCTCAGTCAGCCAGGAACACTTACTGAAATCAGGGGACCACTAAAAGAAGTGGCTCACAAAGGCTAAATGATTTTTTATATTTTATATTACCAAAATAAAAACTGAGGAGGAAAGTGATCAACTTAGGGGAAGCTGACCAGTAGAAAAACTGCAAGATAGTACATTGTAACTAGGTGCCGGGGGTGGTGGTATTCAAGACTGAAATCCCAGCAAGCAGGAGGCTGAGGCAGGACATTGCAAGTTTGAGGCCACCCTGGACAATGCTATGAGATCCTATGCGATGGTTAATCTTGAATGTCAACTTGACCAGTTCTAGAATCACCTAGAAGCACACCTCTGGATGCATCCATGAGGCCTTTTCTAGAAAAGTTAATCAGAAGGAAAGCCTTTCTCTGAATATGGGTGCCACCAACACAGGTTCCAAAATAAGCAAAAGGGAAGAAAGAGTCTGGATGGTTATCAGCATTCCCCTCTCTCTGCTTCCTAGGATGCTAAAATGTGCAGAGTCCCAGCGACACTCTCCAGCCACTGGGAACTCTGCTGTTCTCCACCATGAAGGACTGGACCTTCAGACTAGGAGCCAGAGTAAGACCTTCCACCCTCAAGTTGTTCCTAATGAGTGTCCTCTCCCAGTGGGAGATGAGTGACTAATGCACTCTCAAAAAAATGCACATAAAAGTAACAAGATCAAAAGGTACACTTACACCAATACTTCAGACATAAAGTAATAAACCATATTTTTAAATGACCTCATTTTTCTTTAACAATTCAAATATTGCATGTCCACTGTGGTGACACCTGAGATGCAAGCATGTAGATAGATTAAAACTGAAGGTGTACTGAGCAACCACTAATCAGAAGAAACTAGAAGTAGGAAACTTACACAGCTTGAGAAAGTATAACAAAAAACAGCATATATTTTACTCAATATTTAGAAACCAGAGACTTCCCAAAGCAGGGAAACAAAACAAGGTTGTTTCCTCCCACTGTTACTGTTCAACTTCACACAGGGAGTCCTCCTAGTTAATTCAATAAGAAAAATAAAAAAGAGGTATACAGATTAGGAATAAATCGGTTTGCTTACAAGCGGCCTGAGTGTTGATATAGAAAACCCCAAATAACCAACAAAGAAACTTCCGAAATGAATAAATCCCCATGGCAAGGTTGTGCCAGAAGGGTGTACACAAACTTGGAGGAAATATTTTCAAACTACACTGAATACAAGGACTGTGGTCCAAAGCATATGAAGAACTATTAGGATAACAATATGAAAACAGCACTATTTTGAAACGAACCAGCATTCTTCACAGGTATTCCATTGAAGAGGACATGCAGGTGGGGAGTATGCCCATGAACACATGCTTCACCTCATATGCCAGAGAGAAATAAAAGTTAAAACAGGAAGCCACCACACAACTGTCAGCATGGCCAAGATGGGAAAACCGACAACACCAAACGCCACCAGGGAAGCAAAAGGGGAACCCTCATCCACGGCTATCAGCAATGCAAAGCAGCTTGTGAAACCCGAACATCGACTTCTTAATGAAACTAATTATATTTTCATCATAAAATGAAACAATCGTGCTTCTGTGTGGGCAGAAGGCAAACATTGTGTGGATGTTTATAATAGCTTTTATTCATACTTATCAAAACCCAGGAACACTTCAGGGGTCCTTTAGTAGACAAGTGAGTGGATGAGCTGTCACATGTTCAGACAACAGAAACCTATCAGCTGGGTTCGGCCTTTAAAACCAGCACTCAGGAGGCAGAGGCAGGCAGAACTCTGTGAGTTTGAGGTCAGCCTGGTCTACAAGGTGAGTTCAATCCAGCCATAAATACATGAGCCATCTCCCCAGCCCCCCAACACTGTTTTAAATCTATGTAACTTAAATTTTTAGATATAATTTACATAACAAAAGACTTATCATTTTGAAATGACCCATTATATGGCTCATATAGCAGCCGATCCCCCATTCTCTCTCTCAGCCTATGACAACCATGAATGCATTTTCTATCTTTGGGTTTTCCCATGCTGGATATTTCATGTGTGGAATAATGTTGTGAATAGCATTTATGTTGTGTAGCATGTTTGCAGGGTTTAGCCATGTTGTCATATGTATCACAATTTTGTTCTTCATGATGGCTGAGTATTATTCCATTGTATACACATACCACATTTTGTCTGTTAACCTGTTGGGTTGCATGTACTCCTTAGCTGTTAAGAGTAATGCTGCTATAAATAGTATTGTCAACTAGATGGATATTTTCTAAAGCCTATATTTGATATTCATTTCCAGCCAAGTTTTTTTCTTTAGATTTAATTTTTATTTACTTGTATGTGTGTTTATGTAAATGCCACATGTGTGCAAGTGCCAGAAGTGGCCAGAAGAGGACATTGGATTCCTTGGAGCTGGAGTAAGAAGCAGTTGAGCCTTATGAGCTGTGCGATGCAGATGCCAGGAAACAAACCAGACACCTCTGGAAGCCAGGATGCTGTTCATATAAACTTAGAATTGTTGCAACTTTTCCACAAGTTGCCCTCTTGCTCTTGTGAAATATCACCCTTTATTTCTCCAGTTTTTGCCATTATTTTGCTAGATGACATCTCTATAGCCATTTTAGGTTCAAGCCAAATTGAGAGGGCAACAGAGAGATTTCCTGAGTACCCGCATTTCCTGTCCTACACAGCTCCCTGAGGACCTGAGTGAACCTGTTTTCATGGTTTCTCTTGTTTTGTCTGTATGTTTGTTTGTGCACCATATGCGTGCCTGGTGCCCACAGAGACCAGAAGAGGACGTCAGACCCTCTGGAACTAGAGTTACATAAAGTTGTGAGCAACTATATAGGCCCAGCACCCATGTTTAAAAAGCCAGGCACAGCATGGTAGAAAGGGGAAGCAAGAAGATTGCTGGGGCTTGCTGGCTGCCTGCCAAGCTCTAAGTTCTGTGAGAGACCCAGTCTTAGGAGTAGCAGAGAATGACAGGGAGGGACACCTGACCTCCCCGTGTTTGACACACATGTGCACAGGCACATGCACCCCACCACATGCATACACACACTCACACGTGCATGCACACACAATGTTGTCAGAAGGTAAAAGAGAGTAGGGATGCAGCCCGGTTGGTAGAGTGCTTGTCTAGCATTCAGGAGACCTCGAGTCACACCCCAGCATCTCTCTCAGAAGCACTGCACATACACACACAGGTCATCTCAGCATTTAGAAGGTCGTGGCAGGATCAGGAATTCAAACTCATCCTCAGCCACACAGAGTGTGAGGCCAGCTCGCAATTCCATGGGACCCTAGAAATAAAAGAAATGCAAAATCTATAGCCATGGCTGGAGTTTTCCCTCACTGGTACCGCCTGAAATTATTAATGATAGATTTGAACGACCTGTTAAAAACGTGTGTTTAGTTCCAAGTTGAAAACCCATCTGGCAGCTACTGAGAGGGAAATAAGGCACCATTGAGGCCTGAGGTGTGGCTCACTGACAGCACATGTTCCATAGTCTTACATGCAAGAAATGAAATGAAGCCGTGTTGCTTGTGACAGTGCCTCTGCCATCCCCTCATGACACAACCCTGCCCCGACAGATGAGGAAGTGAGAAGCACAGAGCAGGCTGGCATCTGACCCAAGGTCACCAGCTTGTTCCCAGCCTTCCTTCGCCATGACATCGCCCTTACTGAACTTGAGATCTGACCAAGCTTTACTCACATACATACCTCTGTGGTGCCAGAATAACTAAACATAAGGCAAGAGTCAACTTAAATACACACAGGTGCCTGCTGTATACCAGACAGCAAGAATTTAAAACAGATACCATGACAAGTTATTCAGCTCCTGCTCCAGCTTTTGACTTGGTGCTGCAAACACCAAGTTTTTATTCGTTTGTGCAACCATCTGCCAGGCAGGAACCTTCCTTCCCATTCTCCTGACTGATGGGAAGGAGACCAGAAGGCAGGAAGGATGAGTGGACTTGGCTTTGAATGTTCCTACCTGCATAGCAGTGTGTTCCCAGCCCTGCCTCAGATAGACATAAAGTCTGAAGACCTAGGAGCACGGAGCTGTAGAGACAGTTCAGCAGTTACAAGCATGGACTGTTCTTGCAGAGGACCGGAGTTTAATTCCCAGCACTTACATGCACAGATATGATTAAAAATAAAATATAAAAAAATGATTAAAGAGCAGGCTGGAGTCAGATGGTTCATCTTCATGGCAACCTTGGAAAGGAGGTGAGACATATGGATGTCTACCATGAGCTCAACCCATATGCCCCACCCAGCAGGGAGGCAGAAGTTCTAGGGAGAATGTGGGAGGACCGCACCAAGCCTCCATGAGCCAAGCTGCTCAGTCATTCACCAAACACAGTTTTATTCTCCATTATCATACTGATGGGACCAAATGACACACATAGGCTCCCTTGATCAAATTCTGTAACATTTCCCACAGTGGATCAAGACAGTGAACAATTTCATTGAGCAAAGCTGTCTCAGGACATGGCTGGGGTACTCCTCCATCTTGGGCTCAGAGAAAACAAAGAGGTAGGATGTGTCTTACTCAGAAAGTCTCCTGCACTGTGCCATTTCGGTCCACCACAGGGCTCTACAAAAGGGTCGGTGGACACACGGAGAAGGCACTGCACTCAGCCATGGCCACACAGCCCTAGAGATGGCAGAAGTGCACAAACAAGAATCCAGCTCACATCACCAAGAATACCTCAGCCTGGAGTCAGGGGTCAGGGGAGCACTTGGTGCATGAGGTAAGAATAACAAAGAGCACAATAAGCTGGAAATGGCCAGAATCTTCCAGCACATGGAGGATGGACAAATAAAGTGACACAGCTCAAAACCAGAATTCTGGTCCATCATGACCTGGGTCTTATCATTCAACCATGTTGGCAGAACAACTTGCCATAATAAGGCATCCGATCCATGGGACTTTTCAGAATTATTTTGTTCTAAGCAAGTCCAGGTCATTCACAAAAGGAAGATGGGTACAGTGTTGGATCCTGAGGAGTTTACGGTCTCAGTAGAAAAAGAGGTATGTCTGTACAGGAGAAAAATGGAATGATAGAATATATCAATAATAGGAGCAGCTCCATCAGGAATGTCAATGAGATGCAAAGCAGCAGAAGGTCTAAGGAAAGCGGGTTTTGAAGTATGAGTAAGAGTCCAACAGGAACAAATACATCTGCCAGTTCAGGGAAGAGTTCCAACTTATAATGGTGATTTGTGGGGAACAGAAATCACAAAGCTGGTTCTTGGAGCTGGACCTTTACAAAGATGAGGGCTGTGGGCAGTCTTCAAACTCTTGGAGAAGTCTCTGAACTCTTTATTCAAACCCTGATCACACTTTGTTCCAGAACAGTGGAGTGTCAGAAAGCACCACTGTTCCTCTGAAGGAGAGAATTAACAGCACAAGCCAGCATGTGGCTGCTCAAAACCAGTCTGAGTGCCACCAACAGGGTCTTCTTTTCCAAGTGCCCCTTGGTGACAAACCCTGGTCTCCTCACCCCTGTTCTCCAAGCCTGTCATCTACAGCTCATGTGCTAACAGACGGCAAGCTGGTTCATCCTTCTGAGACTTTCCCTCATTCTGGAAATGAGTGGGCTTTTGACATCAGCAGCCTGGAGCAATTTGGAGAGAGCAGCATCCTTTTCGGAGCACTGAGGAGTCAGCTACAGGTCTCTGATGCTCCACAGGCAACAGAATGTATCCTCTACCCAGGCTGCAGGCCCAGGCAATTCCAGCTCAGCCACCAGATTCAGCAAGGCCAGGACAGCATATGATGCCAACAAGGCATCTGGCGTACACTTGATGACCCCATTATCAACAAGACAGAGTCTCTCCAAAGTGTTCCCAAATGCTGATTTCATCTGAGCTCACTGTCAACCACATCAGGCTCCTGACTCCTCCCCTACTTCTCAGTCTTGGAGGAAGATGAACACTTTGTCCCTAGGTCACCTGGCCAGGTATGGGCAACATCCAGTGCCCAGAATGTGTGCTTCTATGAGCTGGCAGGGGCATGGGACCCCTGCAGAGTCTGTGTGTCTAGTTCCCATTGGCTGGGGCAGCTGAGAAGTCACCAGAAGCCGAGTGTAGTAGCCACCAAACACTGCCAATAGCTGCCGGGCCATCTCCTGCAAAAGAAACATGAGCATACAGACAGACCTGAGGGTGATGGGGCTTAGGCACAGGAGAAATCTAAATCATCCTCCTGCCCTACCCAGGAGGGATGCTCAATGGGAAGAACAAGCCAGACCAGTGCCTGTAGCTCTTGGAAGATGCAGTCTGGCCAAGAACCCCCATTCTGAAACTCACTAGAGCTGGCATGACCTTGGCTGCTTCATCCCCAAAGAAACTTTACTAACAAGACACATAAAGACAGAGGGTTCTGCTCAGAAGCAAACCAAGTCATTGGCATGCCTGACGCCCTAGGTTCCATCCCACCACCACAGATGTTAGTATGTCCCCAGTAGACCTGCAACCTCAGAGCACTGGAAAAGTATCACTCCCATCCCACCCCTCCCCACCTACGCCCACTTTAGACTTTCCAAAACCCATGAATCTGTAAGGTCCATGAGGTCAGACCAACTCACTTGAAGAAAATCACTAATGGGGGCTGCATGGGGAGAAAAGTCCCATGACAGGAGACATTCAGTTCACATATGGTGCGTGGTAGACATAATAACAGTTTGCTTATGAAAACCGACTACCACAAAGGAACAAATACTATGCATGCAGGAGGCAGTGGTCCGAGGTTCTAGTGTTGATGTGTGTGGTGTTCAGCAGAGGAAACATTCTGAAGATGGGAGGTGATGAAAGGCATGCAACAATGATGGAGAATCTAATGTGTGTATCTTACCAAGATGAAAACACACACACACACACACACACACACACACACACACACACACACACACACACAAAGCATAAAGAGAATTATTTTAAATTGGATGTCATTCATTCTCTTAACACATGTGGTCTCTAAAAGTTCCACTCACTTGTGGACCAGTTGAGATTGCAGGGGAGAGGCTTAAATTCCTCACTTGTGTCCACCTAAATGTAATAACATCAGGTGTGGGGTCCAAAGAGGCTTCATGTATGGAACTAGTAATTAAAAACAGGTGCTGAGATCAGGGACACAGAGGAATTCTAGCTCCACCCTGCAGCTCATTGGGCAAGTCCCTGCCTGACTGAGGCATTGTCTTCACTGGTAGTATGACCTGTGTGGTACTCAGTAAATAGCACTTGTTCCATCACCAATATTAAGAAGCAGAAGCCAGGCTCGATCCTGTAACCTTAGCATTTGGAAGTAAGAAAGAAGGACTACACACAGAGTTCAAGGCCAACATGGGCTACACAGTGAGACTGTGCCTCAGAACAACATAAAAACACAAGCAGCTCATCCCAAAGGGCCCCTAGAATTGGCTTTGTCTTTCTTTTTTTTTTTTTTTTATTTATTTTTATTTTATGTACATTGGTGTTTTGCCATGAGTGTTGGGCCCTCTGGAAGTGGAATTACAGACAATTATGAGCTGCCATGTGGGTGCTGGGAATTGAACCCAGGTCCTCTGGAAGAGCTGTTGGTGCTCTTAACCACTGAACTGTCTCTCTAACCCAGACTGGCTTTTTCTTAAGCTTTCTTTTATGCTAGGCTAGAGGATACTGAAAACACAAACGGCGTGCCTTTTACTAGCTCATACCGGCCTCATCTACTCAGGCCAAACAAGATCAAAACTGTAAGAATTAATGTTCTACAGCCAAACTGAGACTCTGCAGGGGGCTTCTGCTCTCTTCTTCCTTCTCCCTCATTCTGAGAGCCTGGGTCAGTCTCACTCTACCCATCAAAGAAGAGAAGGTCATCCAGACCTCAGGGATGCACTAACAAATTCTTTGCAGGATAAAAATCCTTACAGACGTGAGAAGCTGTTCTGACTTTCTCCATCTGTCACAGACTCTGATCTCCTCCAGACACAGGGTTGTCTAGCTGCCCATTGAAACCTGGGTAGAGGCTATTATTTTCCCTAGCTAACTATAAGCTACTTTCCAAACATGTATACACACACATACACATTTGATATTCATGACAGGAAATTGTGTTTCTATGGGTTTGAGCAAATTTGAAAGAATAACTTGAAAGGGTTAATGCATGATAACCCAGACACACAAGCCACTTGAATAAAGCATGTCACCTTATCAGTCCTTTCTGCTCAGGAAAAAAAAAAAAAAAGTGAAAGACTAACACAGCCATGATTTTCTCTCTTATAAACCCCTCTGGGAACCCCCAGAATCAAACCAATGCAAAAGAGGGAGATTGGGTCAGGCTGGACTTTGATTCTCTAAAACCCCAGAATGAAAGGAAAATGCAAGTTATTGCCAAAGCTCCAAATGCCATCTAAGGTCATTCCTACCACTTGGGTCTGTCCTCATAGTTCACAGGTCTGCCATCAACCAGACCCCACACACAGCCAAAAAAACAGAACTTGGCATGGTTCTGGGGCTGATATAGCCAGAACTGAAAGGATTCACACACCAGATCCAAACAGTGACTAGGATTTAAGTAGGTGAGTAGGTGGATGATTGATGGATGATGATAGATAATGGAGATGGAAGGATGGATGGATGGATGGATGGATGGACAGATGAAGGAACAGATGGATGAATGGATGGATGATAATGAACGGATGGATGGATGAACAGATGAATGGATCATGATGGATCACTATAGATGGATGGATGGGAAATGACAGATATACAGATTTTGAGACATGAACATGTGATTGATCAATCAATCAACAGAATATTTTTTGAGACAGGGTCTCCCTATGTAGTCCAGACTGGCCTTAGACCTACAATTCTCCTACTTCTACCTCTTAAGTGGTGGAATTACAAGTATGTGTTACCATGTCATGTGCAGCAACAATAAAAAAAATCAATATTCACCTAAATGATGACAGGCTATGACCCATCAACATGCAATGGTCCTTGCAGTGTGGCTATCAAAAAGGATGGCCAAGATATTTAAACATGCAACCAAAAGTCCCAGGAAGTACAAAGTTATTTCCCATGAACTATAAAGAACTGGTGTAAAGATGAAGCTTACCATCCCAGCAGCTAGATATGCCAATCTGGGTTACATAGCAAAACTCTGTCTCAAACAAGAAAAGTGTCAGAACAAATGAAAATATGTATTGGAGTAAACAACAAAAAGAATGAAAAGACAGCTTTGCAAGATTTGAATGGTCTTTAACAATTCAGAGAAGCTATAACCCCAAGACCTAAAACCTGAGCTATGGCTAGGACCATGATCACACATGGGCCTACAAGGGAGGACCTCACCACTGCTGTGGCACCATTACCTCTGGCTCAGCCTCTGGAACAAGCTGATAGAGTTCAGTCTGCATGAGTGGTCTTTCCTGAGGACCGGGACTGGGCAGGAGGGGGGCATCCTCCAAATCCTCAGGCCCTTCCACCACAGGGCTCACTCCCGTCTCCATGACAACACATAGCTGGCTTAATCTGCTTCTCAGCAAGGACTACAAAGGAAACAGAGGGGACACAGAAGTGTTCTAAGTCTGGTGGACAGACTTTGACAGGGAGGAACTAGCTAAAGAGCCAGGCAGCTGACTCCTGTGAGCCATGCCAGTGAGATCATGCTATTCCCTGAAAAGGCAGGGTCCTAGATAGCTGCTGAAGGCCTCTGCCTTCCATGTTTACATATGGTCACCACAGCCTGCAATGCAAGTGTCTATACATGCACTCCAAGTGAACAAGCTAGGGTATGAACCCAGCCTGAAGCCACAGGTTCTAGCCAGCCAGGAACAAGGTGCCAGGGGAATCCTCACCTCAGGGTGTTGAGATCCCAGGAAACGGCTGATCCTGGGAAAGGTGCTGGCCATCTTACCTCTTGGTTCCTCTTCATTTCCTGAACATGGTCAGACAGAAACTGCACACAGTTCTCCAGGTCAAAGTAGACAAACCAGAGCTGTGGAGGGAGAGAAGCAGAAGCGGCCTGCCCTTAAATTTCTGACCCCGAGTTTACCCTCAAGCTCCTGCTCTTCATCCAGCTCCCACCCTTTTGACAACCACCTGACATGGCCTGCTGTCTGGAAGGAACCATGTGACTGCAGCTTATTTGTACAGCTTGCGGGGGTAAAATGGTAGTACTGGAAATCAAAGCCAGGATACTATCACTAAGCTACATGGTCAACCCCCAAAACATGGCTTTGAAAGCAGGTTCAGAATATGTCCAACCATGAACAAAATGGCTAGGCCCCATTTCCCACAGACCACACAAAAGAGAAACACCCCTACAAATGACATCCCCCACCAACCAGGACCAAGTTCCAAGATGTTCTCAGTGGAAGGGGTGCAAGTAAGAAAGACATCTGGCTGATATCCCCAACCTCTCCTTCCACCTCAGCCTCAGCAGCCCCCAGGCCAGGTTACCCTTACTAGGCCGAAACCTTCCATATCCATTGAGATGCCTTGAAGGTACCACATACACAAGAACCAAGTTCTTTCTGCAGAAAAGTAGAATCCTGAGTCTAACATCTGCATCCACCACTTTGCTTCCTGCTCAGGGAAACTGACCCATGAGACCAAAAGTCACAGCCCCTGCCAGATAGTCTCTCCCACTAGCTCACCCCCAAGAAGGATCTATTCATATACCTACCTTTTGTTTCTTTATCTTTTTACTGTGAAAACATTTCCAAACACACACAGGAGATGAGACATCTTTAACAACTCACTCCATGCCCACCCAATTGAGTGTCACATCACCCAGCACCCATAAGGTTTCTGAAAGACCTCCAGACATTGCATTATCTCATTCTAAAATGTCATTGTGAAGATGAAAGAGACCACTGGCTGAAAAGATGTGTCCCTTCATTAGTTACTTAAATACTCACAGATTCATCTACATCCCAGGGTCCCTCCTGAATGTCAGGGATAGAGAAGAATTGGAAATGAATGAAGCTAGGAAGGAGTTGTGGACTCCAGAGATGCAAAGGTCCCATTTGAACTTCCAGGAATCTTGGGCCAATATCCCAAACAAGATAACTTTACACGTCATGCTATTCCAGGTGTGATCAGCTCCACGAAACTAGGACCTGTGTGTCCTCACCCCCAGCTCTGCCCAGAGAACACTGGCATGTGGAAACTCTCAGCAAACATCTGTCACATGTATAGAAGGCACATATCCTAGCTTCCCTGTGCACACATACTCTAGGCATCCCTGGGTATCCATGAAGCAAAGGGCTATAAGGCATATGTATGCCAAGGAAGCCTGGGCTGAAACCCAGCTCTGCATTCCTGACTATGTAGGTTGTGCCTCTTCCCTAAGCCTTGCTATCTTCACTTGTAGACTAATAGTAAAGTACATTCCTGCTCCACAAAAATGAAGGTGAGATCTTACCAGGACTACAGATAAAACATTCAACTACATTAAGCACTGAGCATGGGCAGCCAGGATCAAATCCAGCCTCAGCCACGAATGTCCCATGCATGACTTCCTACTTTAAGATCTCTGTACTGCCCTGGAGACACAGAAAACAACTGAGCATCATACAGCCCTTCCAACCTCATCTCTCCTGCCATGCCACTTGGCTGCAGCCCTGGGCCACCATGAGCTTTCACTGTCCCTTCAAAGCCACTGTGACTGTATGTATGCCATGGCATCATACATGGGTATGTATCCTCATAGGTAATGCAGGCTCATACTGCACAGGGACTCTTCAGGGACCTTGATTCCTACAGTGCCCAACTACAGGGTTCAACCCAGAGGAGTCCTGCAGGAGACACAGGAACTGGGAGCGGGAGGGAGGACCACTCAAAGCAACACAGCAGACACTGGATCTCACAATGCAGGCCAGGGGAACAAAAGGCCACCTGCAAGCAGGCCACCAAGGGAGGTCACTCTGAGACCATACCTGAATCACACTCTGGCATCCTTCCACTGAGTCAGTCACCCCCAGCAGCACCCGGTGTCTCAGAAGGGCTCCATTGGTGGCCACCAGCCTCAGGTCTGTGTTAGTGTTAGCCTAAAAGACAAGTGCCAAGTTCAAGGCTGACCTCCAAGGAAGTTTCCAAGGAGCTCCTTGGCCCTGGACATCACAGTTGTCTCTCTCCCAGAAGCTACACACTCAAGACACCTCTATTTTCCCCCTAGGGTGAATTCGGTATGAGACAACTTGGGCTAAAACCTGGCTCTGCCATACTGCCCATGTCCCTCCATTGAGTCTGTCTGTTTTAGACTGAAGATTAAGGAAAAAAAAAAGAAAGAAAGAAAAGAAACCACACCCCTGCCTCCTAGGAGTGAGTAGAGAGCTCACTGAGAGTTGCTAAGGAAGTCTTTAGCCCAAGGGTAGATGAATTTATAATGTAGTGGATCTTAGGGAATGCCAGGGACAGATGGTCTATTTGGTGTGGAAAGAACCAAGAACCAGCTCTATTAACAACACAGCTACTGTTTCTCCCTTTCTCTTTTTTGAAACAGGAACTCAAATTTAAGATCCCCAGGCCTCAGTCTCCAGCAAGTCAGGAGTGAGATGTGTTCCACCAAGCCACATGCTAACAGGCCCACTTATGCTAAAGGCCCACTTCTGCTAACAGGCCCACTTCTGCTAGCGGGCCCACATTGTACTAACAGGCCCACCTACAGCTAGCAGGCACGCCTCCTGCTAATAAGCTCACTTCTAAAGCTCCCAGCACAGTACCTGGCCCTCAGAGAAGCAGTTTCTTTTGTCTCCTACCCATCATACCCGTCAATGTCAAATCTGCAGCTGGCAGAAACCAAGGAGACTAGAGAGGGGAAGAGAGAGGAGTGACAGAACCCAAGGCAATAGCCTGGAGAAGAGACCCTCAGAGTCTTTAGTAGAAGTAGAAGACAAGGGCTCTCCAAAGCAGTGAGCCCCCTCAGAAAAACTGGAAATGTGCAGGGGCTCTTTTGCAGGGTCCCACAGAGACAGACAATGCTGGGCACTCAGTGGAAGAGGGTTAAGGTGACCAGCACAAGCCTGTCACTGGAGGATTGGCCCATGAAAAAATTCTACATGCCAATGACCTATCCCCTGGTCTCCCTAGGCACAGAAGAAGTGTAAAAGGAAAAACAAAACCAATAAATAAATAAATAAACTATCTAGAATGTACCAGCATGTCATCTTAACTCCACTGTGCACACACAACCAGAGTAGAGTTGGGGTTCACCAGGGGTCACAGTGCCAGAAAATGCTTTCACTGTCTTTAACCAGAGTTCTGGTCAGTCTTGATCACCTGTTGGGAAACTCACTGAGAGTTCAAATCCTGACTCTGGACCCACTGCCTGTGTCATCCTGGGCAGGTCATTTACCTCCAAGTCCTCATCCTAAACCAGAGATGGAAACTCCCCTGACTTATGCTCCTTAATAATGACAAAATGAGCCACTGCAGGTGGACCACTCAAGGGTGGACATCCCACACCTGTTGGCCAGGAGTGTCAATATGATAGGTAACATGGACTGAAATGCCATAATTTCCTGGCCACACATGGGCATCTCTAGGGGCTTCCTGCCTGTGTGCTGTACTCTGGGGTTGGACATGAGGCAGAGTCTTGGCTATTGCACCACCCTTCTGTTCTTGAGAAAGGCTAATCACTCATCACATGAGGGGAGAAATGGAGAAGGAATGAAATCTTGAGGCTGTTACAGATGCCAAGTGATGCAGAGAGGGTACTAATCCTAAGGGTCACAACTAGGAAGGAGAGGTCTGCAGGGTCCTGATAAGAAATGACTGGGGCCAGCTGTGTACCTTTAATCCAAGTACAAGGAAGACAGAGGAAGGTATATCTCTGTGAGTTTGAGGCCAGCCTGGTCTACATAGAGTTCCAGGACACTCAGGACTATGTAGAGACCCTGTCTCAAACAAACAAACAAAGAAATCCTAGGGGCTGGAGAGCCATGAACTGAGATCTAGAGGAAGAGTAAGGAGAGCTATGTGGCCAAGGTTAGTTCTTCTGTCAGCCTTTCTTCACTAGCAAACAAAGTCAACAATAACAATTATTACTTACTGAGCAGTTATTTTATACTAAGTACTATTGTAAGTGCTTTCCACATAAAATAGGTCTGTTAATTCTCATGAGCACCCTATGACAGAGCCAGAGCTGTCATGCCATTTTCTGATGAGGAAATTGAGGTCCATGGCATTGGACTTGGCTCGCCCCAGGTTGTAGGGCTAACAAATCACAGGAGAATTCTGTGTCCCTACAACACTGTTAGGCACAGACATCAAGCTCTCAGCACAGAGTACACAGAATGAACACAGAGAATGGATATCAGTACTAGTAACATAGGACCTTGTTAGGGTTTCTCAAGTGACCAAAGAGCCTAGAGAATCATTTTGGAGATCTTCACACAGGGCCCTGGCTGCACCTGCAAGCAGAAAGCAGATCCTTCTCTGTGACCTGTGTCTAGCACCTCACCTGGTACTCCCTAGCTTTGCAGTACAGCTGCATAAAAGTAGATGGGGCAGGGAGGAGGCCTTGCATCCAGCAGGCAACACTGGACTGCGTGAGTCACACTGCATCTGCAAGTGGACTGCGTGAGTAGGACACCTGCCAGCTCTCCTCTTCACCTCTTCCTCTTTAGGTTGATGGCTTGTTTTCTCCTCTTTCCAAAGAAGCATCTCCTAGCAGGAGCAGGAGACTCTGTTTATAGACAGAGCATATGGATTATAAAGGCCTGAGCAGAGCCCCAGGGTAATGTTATCCTGTCAGACTCGAAGCAAAGCCCAACAAAGATCCTTTCAGAATGATTAGGCCACAGAGTCCTAATTTGTCCCTGTGAACACAGGCATGAAATGGAATTTGTCAACATGAAGCCAAGCCACGCAGAAGTGGAGCACTTGCTAAGGATTTGGGAGCAGCAAGCAGTAGTCCAGGGATTCCAGACATGGGGACAGGTGCTTCTCCAAGTAACCAAAGACAGCATCCTGAGCTAGGCAGAATAATAGCCTAAAAGACATCGAGCCCCTTCCCAGAACCTGAGAATGCAGTGTTACACAGCACAGTGGACCAGAGCAGAAGCTGCTCAGCTGACCTCACACCAGGGAGAGGGGCTCAGCAAACCCAGGGGAAGCAACATAACCATGGGGTCCTTAAAGTGGGGCTGGAAGAGGTCAAGAAGCAGACGTACCCCCCCCAGGAGCCCTGTCAATCTCTGGCCCAGGGACACTCCTAACCGTGAGATTGTAAGGAAAGAAGTCTATATTCGGGACAGCAGCGCTGGATGCCACACTCTAGAAGCTAAGAAGGTGACCTGGACTAAGCAGTCAAACCTTGAGTTATAGCCTTGTCACTTAGCAGCAGGGAGCCTGAGGACCCTTGCTCCCTGTCTGTAAAGGCCTCTGTCCAGAGTCACAAGGTGTTTCCATGGAAAGGTCTGACAACCTACCATCCATGAAAAGGTGGGCACAGGCACAGGCACACATGGACACTAACCCAGGGAGGGACACAGCGAGCTGCAGAGCACATCCTCTCTACAGATGATCAGGGATCATAAGCTTGGCTTTAACCCTGGCTCTCCACTTATGAGATCCAAGACAAGTTCCCTAACTCTCTGAGCCCACTCCCTGCTCTCAGGTTGCTAAAGAAGTTAAGTGAGGCCAGGATGTTAGTGAAGCACCGAATCACCCACAGAGGAACAATGGCACCGCCTCCCCAACCCTCCTCCTGCCCTGGCACTACACTGAGGTGGGCTGTGACCTTCCCTCCCTGACAATCACAAGGTATTGTGCAGGTCAGGGAGAGGTGTATGTGCAAGCTCAGCTAACTAGAGTGCTGCAGGAATGCTGGCTACTGGGAACTGCTCTTGAAACAGCTGGCTTTTGGAACAAAAAAACAACAGTCTGTAGCCGCTGGGTAAGAACACAAAGAAAGAAGAGAGAACAAAGAGCCTTTGCTCCTTGGCCAAGAGGCAAGTGGCTTTGCACACCACACGCAACTGCCCCAGTGAGCAGCCAAAGCCACAGGCCATCAGATAGTGAACTGAAAAGCACTAAAGGGAGACAGAGTAACCTTTGGGGGGAGCAAGGCAGGAAAGGGAAAAGAGGAGGGGAGGAAGAGCATAGAGGCACAGCCTGTAGTCCTTGCCCTTAGGAGAAGGATCATGAGTTTGGGGCCAACCTAAGCTACACAAGAAGACCCCACCTCGAAAGAACAAACAAAACAAGAGCAACATGAGGGGCCACATGCCTATAATTCCAGCACTCACAAGGCAGAGGCAGACCAGCCTAGTCTACATAGCAAATTCTAGGTCATGGGCCTACATGGTAAGAAACTGTTGAAAGAGTGAGGGCAGGGGTGGGGGGAGGGGAGGACAACAGAGAAGATTTAGCTTCACATGTGAACCTATTTCTGTTAGTCATGAGTGTGCAGCCATGAGGGTAGTTGAAGGAGCTACCTGAGGCAGAATTAAAGTATCAGAGTCCCAAGCCCTATGGAGGGAACAGAAAAGGCCCCAGACAGCTTACCTTTCTCTGCTGTCTCTCAAAGACCAGCACAAGGGTCAGGGTCAGGCTGACAGCAGTAAGAGTGGCAAGCAGCACGCCTGCCCACTGGTTGCCCAGGGCAAACATCTGGCTGGTGGAGTAGATGTTGGCCCACACCACCACGTAGAATACCTGTAGAAGACAGAGGAAGGCATGGCACTGTCAGGGACAGCAGCTCCACTCATGGGCACCCCTTCAGGTCAAACTGCCTCTCAGGGGCCAGGAAGAATGCATGCCAACCCTAGAACCTGAGCTCCTACTCCCTGCTTATTAAGTCAATCTTGATAACAGGTTCTAACTGGCCTGGCAGAAATGAAGATATTCTAAAGAGACACTTTTGTCTCTCAATCTGATTACCAGGCTATTGAAACTATGGACCCCAAAGAAATGGGAATTCTGCTAGGAATCTCATGCTGGGAAATAGCACCAGCCACAGGGTGACTAGTCTCCCAGAAAGAGATATTACACAAAGTTCATTACAACTGCTCAAACCACCTCGCTGGATGAGACTGAGACCCAGATAACAATGAGCCAGAGGTGAGAGGGGCCACATCGTGACTGGACTGCTCAGATATGTGTGGCCTTGGCTATCTACTTCAACTTTGCTGTCCCTCCAGGACCTCTGGAGTGTTTGCTGGATCTCCTTGTCACTCTTTCCAATGTGGCCACATTGGATAGATCTCCTTTTGATGCACTCCACTTTTAATTTGGTTCTTTTAGTTGACCTATTGAAATAGGTAGTCAAACCTGACTTGGGGTAAAGTTTGAGACCACTCAAGTTTGACCCCTCACTCCTAAATCCTCCTGACCCCAATTCTAAATGAAACACAAAAGGGCAGGGCACTCTGGAAGGTACTCTGTGTCTAAACTCCACAGCAATCTTTGCCTTGTGGTATGGCTTAGGACAAGCTATGGTACCTCTCTAAGACTCGGTTTCCCCACCTGTGAACTGGGAATAACCATGCCTACTTCACAAGGCTGTTCTAGGACTGACAGGGTACCATTTCATAGTCCAGTACTTGTTAGGGAATTGTTAAATGCTAGTCCCCAGGCAGGGTTAAGTGGGCCATACACACATACAGAAGCCAGAAGTCAGAAATAAGGTTCAGCCTCAGGATTCAGATAGCCTAGGTTCACACACTGCTTGGCCATGTATGCACATGCTTCTGTGTGTGGATATGTAGTCACAGGTATATGTTTGCAAGCATATGCACATACAGGAAGGTACTTGCATGTATTTGTGTGTATGCACACTATGTATACAGGAAACACACCTTTCTGTGAACAAAAGGAAAACCAAATCCCAGAGAGAAAAGTCTTGACCAAGGGTAAACACTGAGTCGGGAGTCTGGTGGCCTACACCCAATCCCAACCCCTACTGATCCCTTCCACACCAAATCCATCTTTGATACTAGGCTTGCAAAGGCAACTGGATTCCTCCTCCCCTTATATGCCTGCTTACACCCTGAGGCCAAGGTGGGAAGCAGTGTGGGCCTAAACTACTACTTACAACAGCAAAGGCCAGCCGCATGGGCCTGGAGTTGTAGATGATGTATCTCCTCACTTGAGGTTCCAAGAGGGCACTCTCAGCCAAGTTCCTGTATTGCTCAGCAGGGACCTATGTTACCCAAGACAAAGAGGTCATCAGTTACAGGACAGCCACTCCCCACCTCCTTCCTGCCAGTAAGCAGTACCCTCATGGGAGGAGGGTAAAGCAAATTCGAGGCATCTTAGAGGGCAGAAGGGGAGGCTCAGAGCACAGACTGGGAATCCTAGGGTGCAGTCTAACTGCAGGGACCTGAGAACCAGGGCATCCTGCAGAGGAACCACACAGCCTGAGTCTCAGTACCTTCCAACAAGCATAGGCAGCCTTGGGCAAGACACAGGCCCTGGGTCAAACTCACCAGAGTCATGTCACTCAGGTGCTGGGTAACTTGGACCAAGTGAAACCTTCCCTGAAGCCTGGCTTCCTCCTCTCTAAAACAGAGGAGGGGTGGAGGCACTGTAGGGGTGGGTGTGTGCTCAGTGAGATGGTCTCAAGCGTCCTCAGCAGAGTGAGAGTCATACAGTGAGCACTGAGCATCTCAGAGCCAGCCTATCAATGCTACCATCTGATATTCCATACACAGTCCCAAGCACTGAGGGTGCAGGTTCTCTTGTCCAAACCAGAGTATCTGCATAGCACCAGCCCTACAGAAACAGAGTCACCAAAGGAACTAGCCACTTAAGATTATATCTCAACAGGGGACATCTCATGGGGTAAAGGAGCTTGCCAGTAAATGATGCAAGCCTGGCGACCCAAGTTCATCCCTCAGAATCCAGAGAAAGGCAAAGGGAAAGAAGAGACCCCACACTTAAGTCCTGACTTCCACAAATGCACCCCAGCACACATGTACATGTACCCACCCACCTACATACACATGGTGACAAACGTCATCATAAATACAACTTTTTCCAAGTGGAAAAATATGTCACCTGAGAATGCAGTACAATAATACACACACAAACTCTTCATTAATCTGGACAATGGTTTAGGAAAGGTTTGGGGTTTGGGGAGATGGATCAGTGGGTGAAGTGGCTACATAAGCATGAAGACTTAAGTTTGGATTCCTAGCACCCATGTTAAATAACTCCCTGGCAGCCAATCTAGGTGGATCAGCCAGCTCCATGCTCAGTGACAGATCCTTTGTCAATAAACACAGCTTCAATCAGCCAGTACTCACCTGAATGCCCCAGGCCTGCAGTTGCTCTTCTACAGCTCCCAGGTCGAAGGAAATGGGTGCACAGGTATTGTCGATCCGGAGGACTGTGAGGACCTGGCCATTGTGCAACTCTGCAAGCAGATCGGTGCATCAGTGGGCCAAGCAGGAGCGCCTCTGGGGAAGTTCAGAACTGAAGGCATCGCATCGCACCTCAGGCTGGGAGTACCTTCTCGTGATAAAGGGGGCCATGGTGGCTACACCCAGTCCCTAAGGATGTAGCTTGATTGGGAATCTCCCAGGAGGCAAAACTAAAGCTCACATTGGTTAACTGTATAATTCATAACTTCTCAAGACAGAAAGGCATCCCACAAAGAATGGGTAGGTGTGAGTGCCCCGTCACAAGGTATATATAAACAGAGGCTGAACAACCAACTCTATTAGGGGCCTGACGAGATAGATGTTTGGTCAAGCCCTGAACAGGAAGTCCAGTTGAAGAATTTAAATCCCAGCAAAGAGCCAAATATCAGATCTAAATAACTACCACAAAACATCAGCCCCCAGATGGCCACACCTTCATCCCCAGACAATGCTGCCAGGCAAAGAGGAATGAGCACTGTGTATGGAATGAAGGGCACAGATCAGCTGGCCTTAAGCAGGGACAGCAGCTTGTGGTACCCAGTGGGGCTGATGGAATGGCAATGGTCTTTAAAAGGAGGCAGGGCACAGAGAGCTACACCATTGCTAGAGTTAACCACAGGAGGAGGAGTCACAAGCTAAGCTCTGTGGGTAGTCTGTACCACTGGGAAGGAGAAGGGAAGGGGCACAGAGCCTTGTTAAGAGCCCCCAGATAGGAAGACAGCCTTGCACTGTGAGCTCAGGGAGGCCAGAGTCGGGCTTCTGACAGCAGAATTGCAGGGATGCCATGGCAGCTTTCAGCCTCTGTGTTAAATGTCAACATCCTCTGCATCCGTTTAAAGCCCTCCATCACACCTTGCCCCCCAAAAGCCTCATCCGAACACAAGAATAGGTATGTGTGTGTGTGCAATTGTTTTAATTAAGCCCTTCCTTTAGGCCATACTTCCATACTGGTCTGTTCATCATGGGGTTGCCTGAGCTGGCTTAGTGCCTTGCATACATATTTGACACATAAATGAATATGATAAGACTAATCCTCAACCTTGATAGTATTATTTTCTCATCCCCAGGTCAGGAAGGAAAAGCACCTCCAATCTTAAAAGATTCCATCATAGAATTCTAAACTCTAGGTCCTGTCCAAAAGAACTTTCTATTTTGCCCTCTCCCCTCTCTTTTTGAAAGAAGAGTGGTTCACAGAAAAAAAGTTTGGGGGATCAAACTGTGACCTAGCCTATTACTAATAAGGTAAATCTGTAGAAGAAACTGTTTCCCTACCTACCAATGGTCACAGCCACTACAGGAGACTGTGAACCATTCAGATGACAGCCTGGATAGCACTTCAAGTGGGTGCGTTACTAGCTCCAGTGAGGTATAATTTGAAGCAAGCTGTTCAGAACTCAAAAGTCCTGATAAGACAACACTATATGGCTTGTATCCCCACCCCATACTTTGACAAAAGTATAAGATTAAACTGAAGACAACTCAAATGGAAATGGGTAGGCAGAAAAGAGACAAGGGCAGCTAATAAGATCCCTGTTCTAGAATTAGAGCCCTCACTATACACTTGCTCCAAGAGTCCTAAGAGGTGGATGCTGTTCACATGGAAACAGATGCCAAATGTCTAGAAAACAGAAGAGTTTACACAGTTGATTTGAGGGCAGGGGGGTGGAACAAACAAGAGGAAGAGGTAGTGCCCAAAACATAGCCATCATTCAGTGAGGTCTTCCACTGGTGCCCTCCTTGCCACACAGGATGAACCTCCCCCAGGAGAGCCTGGCACCTTTAGACGACAACACCCTGGGCTCCACAAGCATTTGCCCAAACACTGCAAAGACCTTTCACCGAGTCTCTTGTTTGCCTTTCTACTAGGAGTTCCTGGATTCTTGGCAACATGATCTTTCATCTGTTGCTTAAAATGAGAACAGCAAGTTCTCTACTTGTTTCTAGGCCTAAGCTAGGCTGAGAGAGAGAGAGAGAGAGAGATGCAAGAAGCAAGAAGTGACTTGCTAAAATTCAGCAGGGTGATGCTTCTCAATTCTCAAAGGAAAAAATATGTCTCCCTGTCCCTTTCTGCTACAGCATGTATACTATTTAAATTGCTTTCTTAATAACACAGTTACCTGCCTTTTTCCATTTTTGAGCACTGGCCCTCTATGTAAGCCCCACATTCCCGACAGAACACCCACAGTTTACAGTGCTGTTTCTCCTTGCGACACCCCGCTACCGGCCATCCCGTCATTCAGCACAATACTGACTCCCTGTCTCTCATGGAGCAGAGCTCCTGCTGGCTCTACAGACACAGGAAGAGTGAAACAGAGTCCTACCCTCCCTGAACTTCCATTCTGGTAGAGAGGCTGGACACTCAATACTTACCACATAGATAATTGGTATACTAAATAAATTCTTTAGGGAGGATTCATTAAAAAATCCCAACTAAACCTAAGCCAACAAATAATTTGCCACAGGAAAGAAGGATGAACAGAGGCCTGAAGGATGAATGGAAACCAAGCACCAAAAAAAGCTCTGGTAGGAAGAGTATCATGCACAAGGTCCTGAGACAGAGTGCCCTGGAAAAGAACAGAAAACTGGGCAGCAGGAGGTGCCTGGCTAGCCTGGTGAGAGATGGATCTTTACAACATGTCTAGTGGGAGGTCTGACTATCAGCAGACTACACATCTGCAAAAGGAAACATGCTAGAAAGTGATGTTCAAGCTTGAGGTGGTGACAGGAGGCCGTGATAGTGAGCACAGGGAAGAAACGATGGGAAGTGGCCTGGGGCTGAATCCCAGAGTCACCCAGCTACCCAGAGACCCCAGTTACAATGCGAGTTCAGCACAAAACGGGACATAGTGAGAAGGGGATCATGGGTGGGGAGCAGATCACAGTCTTACCTTGCCCCCAGCCAGGAGGGCTCCTTTGAGGCAGGGTGCCGCAGCCCAGGACAGAGGTGGGCAGGGGACCAGCTGCCCCACCAGGGTCTGTGGGAGGCTCACAGGCCATGGCAGACAGATAGCTGTTCTGGCTTCTACTTCCTGTTTCTGGGGATGCAGTTCATGCTGGGGCAGCGTCTCACCTCCACTTGCCTATAAAAAACAGCACAAGAAAGAATGTGAGCTGGGCTCCCTGGCCTTCCCTGGGGCTGGAGTTGCTAAAGGCCAGGGAGGGTCACCAGGAAGCTAACTGCTGACTTTCCGATCCTGCTGAGGAAATTCTTTCTCGAGGAAGAAGGAACCAAAAACTTCCCCAGGCCTCAGCTCAGAATTCCCCTGCTAGCCATGGGTCTTCTCCAGCTCAGCCACATCAGGCTCCACTCATTTCTTCCTGAGATGCCCAGGTAAGCAAGCCTGAGGCAGGTATTATGGGGAGGCCTGCTTATATCCAGCTTCCTACAAGACACTGCAAAATGCACAAAACGAAACCAGGGAACAGGAAACACAGATTACAGGCAGAGTCCTGACAGTCATGAAGTGGAGAACTCGCCAGACGGTTGGGCAAGGTCCATGTTCAGGGATCAACACTGTGTGGTCCCACCGCCTCCTGTTGCTATTTGTGTAAACACGGATATGTGACTTAACCCCCTGAGCTTCAGATAGGTTTCTGCAAATCTAGTAGACCTCCCCCCAAAGGCCCACTACAAAGAATCAATAGACAATACACAGGAAGGCAATGGGGGACAGAGATCATACTCCATGAACTCTTTTAACCCTTCAGTGCCAGCACTCTAGAGACGGAGGCAGACAGATTTATGTGAGTTTACCTACTTGATCTTCATAGTGAGCTCCAGGCCAGACAGGGCTACACAATGAGACCCAGTCTCACACAAAAAACACCTCAGTCCAGGTTCATGACACCTGCTGATAATCCCAGCACTGAGTGGTACAGGGGCAAGAGACAACAGGATGGAAAAGTTCACTGAAAGCCTGGGCTACATGGTGAGTTTCAGACAGGTGTAGGCTATCAGGAAAACCCCGCCTCATAAAAAAGAAAGACGGTTGCTCCTGGTGTGGCTGTTTATAGACTGTTGCTGTGACTGAGGCAAGTCTTTGGTCTTTGGGGTTTCCAGGTGGCCAAAGCCAACACAGACACATTGGCAGCTAAACTCTTATCTGAGAAAAGACTATAAGGACAGTAAGCTGTGGCTTTGCTGTTAGCTCCAAAGGGTCATGGAGACAGGGCCAGTATCAGGTGACCCAGAGGCACAGCAGGCATTACATTTAGCCACTTTCATCAGCGAAAGTAGGGATGATCCTTAAGGGCTCCCTTAGTGACTTCCTGGGTCACCCACCTGCTGCAACCTGTGCCATGTGTCCCTAGGAAAATGATATTCCACTCAAATACACAAGAGTAGCACATCAATCCTGTAAATGGCTGATGGACAGTTCTCGGGAACATTCACTTGCTACCAAGGAAGATGACACTGGGGAAAGTACGAAGCTTCGAAGCTTGCAGATGACACAAACTGCCACTGACCTCTGTAGGGAGAAACAGCTCTGTGTGTCCTCTTCACTGTCTATCTCAATGCTTCAACAAGAGTGGCAGCGCAGGTGTGGGGTACCCTGCAAAGTGAAAAATGTGGGGACTCCTGTTCCGAACAGAAGGATCTGAGGTCAGGGAGATGACCCACAGGCAAAGCATTTGTCTCACAAGCTTGAAGACCTGAGTTCTAACCCAGATGCCCATTTAAAAAGCCAGACAATGTGACAGGCATGTCTACAATCGCAGTATTCCTATGGTGAGATGGGAGGCAGATGCAGAAGATGAAGGCTGAAGGCTCGTGGACCAGGCAACAAGAAGAGAGAGCCTGGGGCTGGATAAATAGCCCAGAGTTAAGAGCACTTGATGTACTTACAGAGGACTAGGGTTCAGTTCCCAGAACCCACATGGTGGCTCACAGCCATCCAAAACTCCAGTTCCGGGACATCCAACACCCTATTCTGACCTCTGATGGCACCAGACACACACGTAATACAGACATACATACAGACAAAACATATAAAGTAATAAATAAGTGTACAATTTATTATAATAGTAAATGAATATATATTTTATTCATTTAAAAATATTACAAATATAAGTAAATAAGCCCACAGTGATAATAAATAAATCTAAAAAAAGAAATACAGAAGACAGACCCTGCCCCATCATCAAGGTAGAAGGCAACAACCTACTCTCAAAAGTTGTGCCTTGACCTCTGCAGTCATGTTGCAGCACATGCGCACCCACACTCACACAAAAACGGAAGGAATTAAGACGGTGGCAGAAAAACAAAACCAAACTGTAGGGAAAGAGAACCCTGTACAAGGAGGCCTGAGCAACCATGCAGGCCAATGTACCTGAAACCAGCCCAACTTTCAACTCTAGAATAAAGGTTCTCAACCTGTGGGCCATGTCCCCCAAAGACCATTGGAAAGCAGACATTTGCATTGCAATTCATACCAGTAGCAAAATCACAGTTACGAAGTAGCAACAAAAATAATTTTACGGTTGGGGGTCACCACAGCTTGAGGAACTGTATTAAAGGGTCACAGAATTAGGAAGGGTGAGTCTAGAAGGTACCTTGGAAGCCTCTTCTCCCAACAAAGAACAGATAAAAGATGTTAACAAGGCCAAAATCAAAATGTTAGGAAAATACTGAAATCTTTGGAGCCAGAAAGCCTGGGCAGGAATCTGTGCATAGCCATTCATGTGCTCTGTGACATTTACCTTCAACACTCAATCACACCACACCACCCCAACCCTGTGCCTGAACTCTACTGTGAGCATCTGTACAATGGGGGCAGGGAGGCCTGCCTCACTGAGCTGCTCTAGGAACATAACTGCAAGTATGAGCATAGTGTTCAGAACTCTGCCCACAGCCCAGGTTCCTTCCTTTCCTCAACATGGTTCTCCTGTTTCACAGTCAAAAGACATGTCCTCTCCAAAGCTGAGTGGCCATTAGCTGTAGGGCCAGAGAAGGATTCCAACATGTGGCACCAGAGTCTCAGGCCACAGTACCATTCCCTCATACCTTTAAACCTGGTCTGGCTTCCTCTCAGCTTATTCGAGAAACCACCTTTGAGTAGATCCAAAGAAACCACGTTTCCCAGGCATAACCCAGAAATAAATCCCAGTCATACTGCAATACTCCTCCATAGGAAGACACAGCCTCTTCTTTGCTTATCCTCAACCTGGCCTACAGCAACAGTCTCAAACACACTGGGTACTTACCAGGCAACCTTACCAGCCTGTTTTCCTTCTTATACCCCCAAGAGGTACAAAAGCCACAAAACAGCCACAAGGTTGTGCCCAGCACTGACACCTCTCGGTTTCCTCTGATCAACTACCAAGCCACAAGGCAGACACAACCTTGACATCTGTGCTCCAGGCAGAGAGGACTCACAGCCACACTTCTGCCTCACAACACTAGAGTGTTGAAAAGGCAGGAGGAGCTGACACAGACTGGAATTGCTGAAGCCTGGGACTGCACAGGATTCACTGGTTGCAAAATCCCACAATGAAGCATTGTGTTGGGGGCAGAATTACGGCACCCACATCAGCCCCCTCAGCTGCCCACAGAGACCCAATCAGCAGACACCAGTCATCCACCCAAGGCTACATGTGTTGGATGGCTAAAAGCAACCTTCCCAGTCCAACCACTTCCCAGTTAGGTGGCCTTGAGCAACTTACTGGACTTTTCTCTGCCTCCATTTCCTGGAGTGAGGCCAAGGAGAGTAATTTAGGATTACCCTGAGTTCCATATTCACAAGATCTGCACTTGGAAAAGAGTGGTTACTGACAGATGGTGGCAGTCATCAACCTATTCTACAAGCATTCCTTGAGAAACTTCTAGGGCCAGCCCCCCGACTGTAAAACCAGAAAAGCAACATGAAGCCTCTGTTCAGTCCTCCCTTCAGGGATCACCATCCACTGGGAAAGGCACAGGCAGAGACAATTGCCAGAGAGATGAGGAGGAAAGCAGGCAGCAAAGTGGGGCAACTTGGGAGGAGAGACTCCCGGTCTGCCTAGGTGCTTCACCGAAGTGGAGACTGAAAAGGAGCCATGCCAAATATGAATGCGTTCAGACCAGAGGTCGGGATGGGTCCAGGGTTCCCACTGCAGATCCCCATCCAACCCAGAGACTACAGGGCCACGAGGATGAAGGAAGATGCTGACCATTTACCATCCCCTCAGCCCTGCTCCAGTCTTCAGCACACAAGTAAGGGAGCCCCACAAAGGCTAAGCAGAGCAAAGAAGGAGCAAGCGCTGAGACTCCTGACAGTCCCTTAGGAGTACACACTTCAACCAGATTTTCCAGTCGCAGGCTGTGCAGACTCAAGCCCCAGAGGTCCCATCTCTGCACCGAGCCAGCCTCACCTACAACTAAGCTTCTGCCGGGCAGGCTACCCTGAAAGGAAACAGAAAGCGGCTTTCCTTCTTCAAACTCAGCTTAGTTCATTATTCTGCAAGTCCAACAAATCAGAGGGGTGATAGTCCCAAAAGTTCAGGACAGAAAAGCCTGGCTAGACAGGGTTCAAAGGCCCCATTTCAATGATGTGGACAGTAAGCCCCGGAAGAGAAAGCAGGCTATCCAAGGTCAGGGAGCAAAAACCCAGAGGGAGCCAGAACAGAAAGCCAGCTTAGTGCGAACCTGCGTCTCCTTTCGTACCTGGCCTTGGCCTTGGGCAGCTGGCTCCCCGGTCTCTGCCCTCTAGCCTTAGGGCTCCCTCACCCCAGAAATCACCCTCCCTACCCCGCAGCTCCCACGCCTGACGCGTGGGGCGGGAAGAGGTCACCCGAGCCTTAGCGGCGGGACGCGCACGCAGGCCCCGCGGCCCCAACCCCCGAGCGCGGGCGCACGGGCGCGCGCACGGCCCGCGCACACTCACCGCCACCCGGGGACGCGCGGGGTCGGAGCCTCTGCGGCCCTTCTGCGCCGAGGAGTCCCGGCGCCGCCGCCCCCGCGCGCCCGCCTCGCGCGCCGCCCCAGCCCGACTCCTCCGTCGAGCCTCCCTGCGGCCGCGTCTCCCGAGCCCAGCCGGGAGCGTTTCATCAGCCGTGTTCCCCTAGGGCACCGGAAGGGGCCCCGCGCCCGCCACGTGCATGGGATCTGGGCTCGTCCCCGCAGTGAAGGAGCGGCGGGGCGGGGAGACCGGTCCCGAGTGACCGAGGGTCACGAGATTCGGTGCATGAGGCACACTCGGGACCAGAAATCTCTTCGGGGTTTGTTTTTTAATGAGAAACGGTTGGAGTACTGAGAGCGTCAGTGGTGTAAGGAGCAGAAGGCCTGACGACCGGCCCAGAGTCTCCACTTAACCCATCCGGTAAATTAAACTTCGTGTCTGCGTTAAAAAAAAATTAGTTATGACTGTGCCATGAAGTTGTGTTGTTTTATCGAAACAATAACAATGTGTGAGATGTTCAAATCCACACTTGCTCACCCTACTCTTGAGATTTATGAGGGTCTGTGATGACTTTGTTCTTTTTCCGAGTGAATCACACTAAGTTTATGTTGTTTTTCAAACAAAGACTCTGGGTACTTCACCTGCAGCCTCATTTCTTTTTAAGGGGATCATAAACTTCTCTGTTTTGTAAAATTGGGCCTCTCCTTGCCTTGTCCCTCCCCAATGATGGATGCATGTGTGATTCCTACCCTAGCGTGCAGGAAAGGATAGGGCACATACATGCCACTGCTCTTGTTTCTACAAGTGGTCTTGCACAGACACACTTCTGTTTTTCAATAGTGACAGTCAGTCTTTAGGATTTTCAGACGACAGGACTTACCTGGCTGTATACCCAAAGGAAGATGTTTGAAGGCCGCAAAACCAAATTGAAAATCCAAATATCATATCCCATGTAAGTGCCCATGGAACAGATGAGTCAAATCAAGGTGCCAGGCTACTAAAAATTAAGTTATTTGTGAGCAAATCAACACTGAGTACCTGCTTGCTCAGTGCCAGCACTGTAGAGCACAGTTCATGGGAGGGTCCTATGTAGTATGATCAACTTGCTAAGAGTAGTTTAGAAGCCTGGGAACAAGAGACCCAAGGGGTGCTGAGACTTCTAAATGCTCACAGACTACTGAAAGGAAACTTTGGAACAAGCTTTGGCCTAGTCCAGGTCTGTCTTTGGGGCAAGACCTACCACCTCCATGACAAGAGATGGCCTTGCTGTCCTTTACACCAGCCTTCACTCTCTGTGCTCCAGCACAAAAAAAAAAAAAAAAAAAAAAAAAAAAATGTTATGTTGACGCATCAGCCTCATAGAGGTACACACACAGGGGACTTGGGAAGCTGCCCACAGGGCTGTACTAGTGCACTATGTAACAGCCTACGAGCTTGGGCTACTCTGTTCACCCATTCACGAAAAAGCAATGAAACCTGCCCACGTGGAAGATGTCGAGAACCAAACACTGAGTGCTTAGAAAGTGTTCTAATCAGCAAGGTGCACTCTTGCAGCAACTTTAGTGCCTGCATACCTGAAACTCTGGGGCTTGGGAACTCATACAAAGGAAAGGACCATAAAGTCCAGTGAAGCATACTGCAGGGCAGGCAGACTTCAGTAATGACAGCTTGATGGCATCTCAGAGGCCTTTGTGGTAACTTCAGTCTGCACCGCCTGCAGCCTACCCTGGATGAATCATTGCCCACTCCCCAAACCCCAAGTTCCATAAATAGAGCTGTTCTCAGTTCTGCCTGCACCCCATTCTTTCACTTCCAGGTCTCAGTGGTTGCCTCAGGTCTTTCCTCTTCATCTGGAAGATTAGTGCCAAACCCATCTTCATCACCTGACTGGTCTTGGCTGCCAGGGCCCTTTTTCTGAAAGCCCCATCCTGCCCTAGGACGAAGGCTGTTTTCTTGAATAACTGACTTAATTGCTCTGAGCCTGTCTCCTCATTTATACAACAGAATACTACTCAGACATGGAGACTGACAGTATATATATCAACATCTTTTAGTATTAATTTTGATATCCATGAACTACCCAAACATTTACAAAAGTGTTTCTTTCTTATAGATGCCACTGCTCATGACTTCTTGATACCTGTTTCAACTGTTGGAAGTGGTGTGACCTGATAACTCTATTGAAGACACATGGGATGTCAGCAGGTGGAGCACAACTACACAGCCGCCGTCCTTGTCAACTGTGCCGGGAGGCAAACAACACTGTATTTGTGGGGAAACTGGGTCAAAACCAGAAGAAAAACTGCTGAGTTCCTGTCAGGAAAGGCAACACACACACACACACACACACACACACACACACACACACACACACACACACACACACACGAGAGAGAGGGGGGGGGGTGAGGGAGGGAGGGAGGGAGAGAGCTGCAGAATGCTAAGTACCAGTGATAGGTATTAGGGACAAATGGGAGTGGAGTCACGAGAGAATTCCTATATGGCTGAGCAGAGGGTTCAACTAGTTAAGTGTGATTCTTTTCATCCTTAAAAACCACAGATGACAGGCAGCCCCTTTGTGGACTCTCTATCAGCGCCACTTCTCTTCTGATGTTCTCTGCAGGTGTTGCCATGTGGTCTAGAATGCTGTCACTCTTTCTTCATTGCCAAGTAGAAAAGGGTGGAGGTGGGTGACCCCCATCAGTCACTCCCAACACAGTAAACTTGTCATTAAGTTCACACTTGAAGGAGCTAGTGAGCACTATTAAGAGCCAGAGGAGTAAATGTAGGTACAATAGTCTGACCAGCACCTTCTCCCAAATTACCAGCCAAATCTTTTCATAAAGACTGTGTCCCATCTGCCTATCTGCACAGGAAGAATACAAAGAGCAAAGCTAGAACTGCTTGGTGGTACACAGGCTTTTGCAGTAACTCCAGAGCCACTGAAGTGATGGGAGATGAACTGACAGGGAAAAAAATATATATACACATACATGCATACAGATATACATGCATGCATGCATACATACATACATATATACAAAATCTTAGCATCTGCCATATTGCTCCTAAAAGGGAGAGGGGGTGATATGAAAAAGCTTCAACCTTTAGAAAGACAATTTTAGTGGACTTCTGGTATCATTAATCATCTTGAGTGGAGACAGACTGAATGTGCCCAGAAATGCATGCAGACTGTTTGTTGCAGGCTTTGCTTCCCTGGCCTGGCAGGTGAGTGGAGACAATACCCGACCCAAACCTGACATGGAGCTTGGCAGTCTGACTTGCAGCAGACAGTGCTGTACACAATACTGCTCTGAATAAATGTCCCTTACTTGTTCTGTGAACTTTCACATCCTTCAGGCCTCTGGGCGGGGGGTTTTCTCATGCATGGAGGTGGGATTACACCTCTTAGCTGCAGGATCTATAGGCCTCAAAACAGAATAAACCTTCCCACTAGTTGCCTGCAGAGATTAGGATGTGTGTGCAGTGTAAATTACTTCATCTCTCTTGAGTTTCCACCAATCCACAGTGAGTGGCCATTCAGGAAACTGTCAAGATTACCCACAAGGTTACACAACCTAAGCTATTTTATGAAACTGAGAGGAAGGCTAAGCTATGACATTAAACAGAATGATCTCATTTATAACAGACCATTGGAACATCCTTTCTAAGAAACTGTATAACTACCTAGAAGAACTGATGAACATCATGACAGAGGGGAGGGAGGAGTGATGGGAACAAGACATACAGAAAGCTCAGCAGACACTACACAAGAATTAAAGGCAAAGATGCTTAAAAGCACTGAAGGATCTTGGCTCTACCACACAAACCCTTGCCTGGTTCCTTAGTTCCCATACCTCAAATCTGGTCAAAGTTGCCAAGGGGTAACTTGGTTAGGGGCTGGAGAGACAATTCAACAAGTCAGAGCACTAGAGCAGTTAAGAACACCAGCTGCTGCTCTTCCAGAGGCCCAAGGCTCCATTCCCATCACCTACACACCAGCTTACAACCTACAGCTCAGTTCCAGAGACTCTGACTCCCCTCTTCTAGACTTTGTGGGTACCAGGCTATAGAGGTGGTAGACATACATACATGCAGGCAGGCAAAACACTCACTACACTTAATTGTTTTAAATATTTTTTAAAAACTTTAGAGTAAACTGATAAATATAAATGCAAGTATTCTTAATGCATAAGCTAGCATGTAGAAAACTGTCTTCATCACTTACAGCAGAAACAATTTCACTGTCCATAGCTCCCTCATTTCTTAAGTTGCCTTGCAGACAGGTTGGGTCAATGGGAGACAAGGTGTCAGGTGTCATCTGAGGACTGACACTCATGAGAACTGGCTCTTAGGTCATCTTACTCTTCCTACTTCTGCAATATGCAATAGTGCCAACTGTGCTGAGGTAGAGGCACACAGTAGAATAGCCTCATCACCCACTCACCACATGCCCAACAGCTGCCGCAAAGAAACCCAACTTGTATCAAACTTTTAAGAAGTAGGTCTTTGTTGTATTTCAGAAACAGGAGACATTTGCTGAGCACCTAGAATGTTCCAGGCACCATATGTAGTGCTTTGAAGTATTTTTAATAATTCTTTTCTTGTTACTGTAGAACAACAGTTCTGATCTGGGGATAATTCTGGTACCTAGGAGCTATGGCAATGCCCAGTGACATTTTTAGTTGTCACTATCGAGGGGGTCCTGGTAGCATCAAGTGGGTGGAGACCTGGACACTGCTGAACACCCCTGTAATAAACAAATGTTACACCAACCCAAGGAGAACTCCCTTTGAAGCCCAGACCAGGTCTCTTCAAAAGTTACTATTTTTTTTTCAGATTTACACACACACACACACACACACACACTATACGTATGTGTCTATACGAACACATCCATATTCCCTCATTTCTTTTTATGCTCAAATGAAGACAAATCCCAC